ATGGCGATGATTTCCTCTTCAACACTGGGCTGCTCAGATTTGTTAGAGAAGCCCAAGGGAAAGAATATAGATTTAGGAAAAAGCTGGGAAAAGTGAAATAGTGTGTTCTGTTATGGAATTTTCACTCAATGAATTTTGTATTAAATTAAAAAATGTAGTCTGGAAACAATAATAAACGTAGTATTTAAAATCACATGTATCAAATCAGAGGAATTTAAAGGAGCAATTGAAGAAGAAATTCTGCAAGGACTTGTGAATGAATACCATCTATCTAACTGTCTATCTATCTATCTATCTATCTATCTATCTATCATCTATCTATCTATCTATCTTTCTATCTCCAGGAAACCTAAGTGCTGTATGCCATCTTGTGGGATAAAATCATAATAACTCAGTGAAAACTATAGAGTGTTAATTTCAGCTCATAATAGGATACCAAATTTGAAAGGAATTCTATGTGGAATGGACTTTTGTTTATGCTTTGTGCCTTTTCTTTTTCTATTTTATGGGCACTGGGCTGTTCTAAAGTTTTCCCTGAGCCTCCAGGTTGGCTCCATCATAGGTGCCCACNTATCTTTTAATATGCTGTTGAATTAAGTTCCTAGTATTCTGTTGAGAATTTTTTGGATCTATATTTGTAATTAAATTCACACAAGTTTTGAGAACCACTGAATATACATCTAATGAATGAAAAAGTAATGCATATCACATTTACTTAAAGAAACTTTGAGGAGGTATTTATAGAAGTGGAATAGCTATTTACTGCCTGAAAATGAAGCTCATAAAATGATATTAAGTTTTATAAAAGGGTAATATTAAGTTTTATAAAAGGGTAAACAATATAACCATGATATTTATCGCATAAGCTTTGTACACAAATGGACTGTACACTGGTACATATATAACTGTATTAGAATGGGAAAACAAAAATGAAACACAGATTAAGAGTAGTTACCTCTGAATTGTTGCCTTGCTGATTTTGCCATTTGTATATTTTTGTATCTGACAGGTATTTAAAGCCAAAATGTACAAAGTCTAGATACACATAGTTAAAAGAAGATCATGGAATTTAAGTTGATGATGAAATTATACCCCAATGTTAAGAAGAAATTACGTGCAACCAAAATATCACATGAGGCATTGTTTCTTATAATTACTCAATTTGTAGCCTCCTTGGAAAAACTTCAATTATATTCTCTAAGGTTAACATCCCTAAGGCCTTGGTGGCATATATGTATGACACCGTTTTATCCCAGGATTTGGCTTTGTGCTTTCCTTTTCTCTCTGTTACGTCTGAGTTTATTTTGAAAAGATTAGGGGGGGAAAGTCACTTCCCTGAAACATTCATTAAAATATACTGTAAACTCCTGCTACTTTTGTATAGGTTTGCTATTATAAAACAAAACAAAACAAAACAAAAAGAGTTGAATTCTCAGCTGGAACTTTCCTGGAGTCTATTTAAGAAGCTTTCTTAAATGAATAAGTCAAATTCTTCTGCATTTAGGTGAGTTGATTTAACTCTTACTTTATTTCATTTTAGAAGGAAAATAACATTTTAAAATAATCTTTGCAGGAGACAAACCCCTGTGTAAATCTAACTGCCATGATAGCCACTTAGTTCTGGTAACTAGAAATATTTGATTTCTTATCTTTCACCATACTTATGGGTATTAAGTGCCCTATATTATGAGGAAATATTTTTCTTTTTTCATTACAATACTTTTCTCCTTCTTTTTATGTGCACAAATTTTAGTTTTAATAGTTAACAAGAATTATATGTTCTATTATTTGTAATTCCATGCATTATTTCTCAGATTAATTCTCAGAAAAAAAGTTTTGAGGACAAGGTTTATATTTTATAATTTTATATTTTTTATAATGCCTGTCACAGTGCTGAGCACATAGCAAGTACATAATGAGAAAGTCAGGGTGGTGTCATTAGATAGGAAGGAAAGAGTATGCACAGTACCCTGAGCTCTCAGTTAACTGAA